AATTTAGACAAGGAATTTGCTATGGCGTTGAAGTTCGTATGATATCTTTAATAGTAAAATAAATTATGCAATATTTACGTATACCAAAGGTGACCTTTCCCCAATTTACAAACCAACTTCAGTAATCATCATCATCAGCCTATAAGTCATCATCATCAGTCCACTGCTGACCAAGGGCCTCTTCTCAGACGGAGATGGTTTGAGCAATAATTATCACGCGTCAGAAATTATAAGCTCAGGTTTCATCACGATGTTTTCTTTCACCGCATGTCAGTGGTTTCTAAATCATATACAGGACGGTTTTGAAACCGCACCCTCATTCATGAAGAGCAGCTGACATATACTTCATTATTGAACCTTCATCGCATCGAACCTTGCAAATCAAAATTTTCTGAATACAGAAATTTCTAGAACAACAGATAATTGAAAATCGAATTCAATATTTTTTTATTTCAACGACAACATTGCATGTTTTAATATCCATTAGAGTGCACGAATATTATTATGTATGGCAACTTGAAATTAAAACAATAGATTATATTTTATAATAATAGAGGCAAAAACTAAAGTTTAAAGTAATAATGTGGTAAAGAAATGATTTAGTATTGTAACCGCGCCACCTACGGCGAGGGAGGATTTATAGCTAAGGACGCTTGGTTTCAGAATATCTTTTGTCTCTGTTTCATGTATGTACTAAAGAGAATATCGTTGAACTTGCTATGTAGGTATTGCCTATTTAGACTGCCGAGCATAGTCTCATGTCCGGTTGAACTTATATAACAAAATTATAAATAAATATATTGATATCTGGAAATTCTATTTTATTTAATGCAATCCAAGCTATAATATTATAAATGCGAAACTAACACTGTCTATCTGGTTTTTCTTCACGCCTAAACTACTGAACCGATTTCTGTGAAATTTGATTAAGAAATAGTTTGAAACTCGAGAACAAACATAGATTAGTTTTTATAAAAAACTATACAAAAAACAGAAACCTGCAGGAAGTCACTATTCCACATGAAAGAAATCGCGGACAAAAGCTAGTCATCTATAATTTTTTGTTCGAGTAATATTCAATATTGACTTTTCACTCTCTTGCTGGCTCCTCTGGGTGGAATGAGAGGGAGTGTCAGACTCTTACGGACTAAAACCATGTCGTTCCTTCCACTTACTCCATTATGTTGCCGAGGCACATCATTCTGTTTACATTCGTCACTACGGTTAGACACCGGCCCTGGTGGTCTTTACGTGTGGGACTCGGGTGGCTTAATTTTTTTTTAATGTAATTGGTCGGCAAAAGAGCTGACGGATTACCTGATCGTAAGCAATCAGCGCCGCCCATAAACACCCGCAACGAAGGAGTTACGAGTGCATTGCCGACCTTTCCCCTTACTATATTTAAATATTTTTAATTAATTAATTATTTATCATTATACATAAATGAAAGTTTATAAGCTAGGTATATCCTTATAGGGCTCATGGTACGTGGACGTTTTTTTGATACGCCTTTATTAGCAGATGGCTGTATGAACTAATAAATGCAATTGGGAAAAGAGAAAAAATTAAATCTGGAATGACATTATATTTTATACTTACTACTTTTTTATCAGTGGCTCTTCTTGAAAGTAAGATGGGCGAAGGCTATTACTGGCAGATCAAAATAGGGCTAAATAAAAAGAACGGTTCAAAAATAGGTTTTATTTCAAGTACATATATTCATATATCCACGTCTTATTTGGAGAAAAATGTGATATGGTTAGTCTTAGATTATATCTTTATATACTGGTAGACTTTTATTAGCGATATAAAACAAAAATTGGTGTAGCCTTATTATATTACTCAGTAACGTATAGCACCTAGACTTTATTTACTCTGGAAGTAATTATGAGTATCCTACGTAGGCACTAAACCTGAGTGTTGTTGTGAGATAAGGTTTTGATTAGATCTAACCATTAGGTGGTATAATGTTATAGATTCTATAATATCGACTTAATGAGGATAACGAAAGTGTCATTCCATTTTGAATTATAATTATCAACTCAAACGGAAGAAAAAAAACATTCATCCTAAAGGCAGACAATACTTTATACATTTGTGTCAATACAGCAAAACCTTATCAAGTACTGAGCCTGATTGTACTTTAATTGATTCAAATGAATATTTGAAGGCTACAGTCGTAACAGTGAACGGAAGTTTCGTACCAGGCACAGGCGGGTAAAAGCAAGCCTTCTACAATAGGTACTACTGACATTAAATATACAAATTCGTTAACGTAAAAGTTCCCTCATTTACGCAATGCGTAAGAATTGCGCGCAACTGAGGTCCCACGTTGGGCGCCAATGAGGGCTCGACCATTACCGCGTTGGGCGCCATCAAGAGGCTGTACGAATACGCTAAGTTATTCATTCCGTTATGCAATGCTCGCGCCGAAAGTTGTCCTTGACTCAAGTGTTGCTCTGTATACGAGAAAATTATTTGCTTTAAAACAAGATGGTTACTTAGATACTTACGTAGAATTGAGCTGAATATCTTCCAGTTTCGTTTGTTTAAGTTTTAACTAACTGTGGATGTGTTGGTTGCTATTTTTGGACTTCTGTTTGTATTTAACAGACTTATTTGGAACACTAACACCCGGTTTCCGAAAGACCGATCAATGTTAAAATCAATTACTGAATTATCTGACTGAATTATCAACAACCAATCAGATGACTTGACAAGAGATTTAACAGGAGATTAGTTAATTTTAGCGTTGACAAGCCTTTCAGAAACCGTGTGTAAGTAACTTGTTCCTAATTATTGCTTTCTGAAACCTAATTTAACAAACTGCTTCGTTTTACAATCATGAACAACTACCCACCAATCATGAAAACCACTATTCGTTTAGTAAACACTAAATGGTAGGGTATTAAGTAGAGTAAAGCAACAGGTCTGAAAATTACGCCAGTTTATATCACGTACATTAATAGCCCACGTAGACTATTGTTTTCTTTATGAGCCGCCATTACGAACCAACAGCCATTATGATATTACCAGCTCATAAGTTATCATGTTTGCAAATTGGCCTTAGGTAAGGATTGTAAAGTTAGCACCCAACTTACATATAAAAATATAACGTATGCTATAAGTTTATAGGGTTGTTTTAATTTGGCTGCACGGTTGACGCAGTGACAACAGTACAGAACAACAATATGTCAGATTCATAAATTGTTGTTCCGGGTTTGGGTGGTGTATTTATCTTTGTTAACGCACCCACATTATTATCAGCCTGATTTCGTTCACTGCTGGATATAGACCTCCCCAATTGCACGCAACTGAGCTTCATGTTCAGCTCCTCTGATCCATAGAGGGCGCCCTACACTACGTTTGCCTAGACGTTGTCTCCACTCTAAAACACCTCTACTCCAACGGTCATCGGTTCTTCGATAAATATGACCTGCCCACTGCCACTTCAGTTTGCTAATAATTTGGGCTATGTCGATAAAGTTCTCTCTAGTATCAACTCGTTTCGAATACGATCCTTTAAAAACTTCAAACTTAGCCCCACTCACGGGCCTGCGGTCGGCGAGTAAGGGCAGCTCGCCGCCCGACCAGAACCAGGCCCGAGCGTACGGCGCGTAGCGTTCCGCGCGTGCCTCAAAGAGCCATTAGACCACCACAGACGGGGCCCCATAGGACTGATGTTCAGCCGGGGTTGCGGGGTAAGCGCAATGAGGCACCGCGACCTCGGCATAGAGCAGGAGAAGGAACAGGGGGGTTTTTAGTCAGTAAGAGTCTGACACTCCCTCCTGCCCAGCCCTGGGCGGGAAAAGTCAATTGATGATTTTCCCCTCACAAAAAAAGCCCCACTATGCAATGCGGCAATGATTGATACAAAGTTGGAATGTTTTTTTTTCAATGAATGTTTAGATAGTCTTAAAGATTACCACTCGGACATAAAAGAGACAATATGTTGTCTTTGTATTGAACTTAAGAAATGAAAAATAAAATGGTACTATTTCGATTATCAATTTTTCGAATTAAATACTTGATGTGTTTTAACTTGGCAAAATTAGGACAGTTGTGGTTTCACACTGTTTTATTATTTTTGACTTGTCGCTTGTATTTCGATGTAAACTTGTGGAAAATATAAAATATAGTTATCAATTTTATGTTTTACAACTGTTTTCATGTGTATGTTGCTTTTCAAACAACGTGTATAATTTTATGTGAACAAATAAATTCAGGGTTGTAAAACTGGAATATTTTTGTGATATTTATGTGCAATTTATTATATTAAACTATGGCATGCATGCTTTAAGATATAGAACTACGTATTACAGTAATTTCTAAATCGATTTTAATTAAGCGTTTCCTACGGATAAGGCAGTAATAAGGCGGTAGTTTCCAACTAGTCAAATTCAATACTTTTCATTCAAATATGACGATACTTTTCTATGAAATTTGTATGAAACTCCAAATTATGACGACATAGTATTTAGCGCTAAATAGATTACTATCTACTTTCTTAAAATTTTGCTAAAAATAAAATAAAAATTGTGTACCGACAGATCGATGAATAAAAGTATACTTATTTTTCAGTAGAAACGTACCAACCTGGCCCGTAAACGACTAAGAAAACAACCCAAATGTCCATCCGGATATAAGTACTTACAAAAAGTGCAAAAAATAAGTTGTTAAAAAAAATCTTTCTTATTCCCGCAAAACAAGACGAAACAAAACACAATCCAATTTTGAAAATTTAATTTATTATTTGAAATTAGAGTTACATGGTCTAGGGTTGAAAGTGCAATTGCACTGTACCAACGCGAAAATGTGTAAAACTTCTTTGGAATACAAATTCAAAAATCTGACTTTAAAAGTAATTACCTATACTTTAGAATCTATACCAGAAAATAATCAGCCAAGGAACCTCTGAACCTCAAATTGTAAAACAATTTTAGAGTTTTTAACATTGGTAAAGTGCAACTGCACTTTTGATCCTCACTGTACGTTATCAATCAAACATTGGCCACGGCAGGGATAAGGCTCTCGTAGATCTGGATCCCTCGTAGGAATGTGTCAGCTCTCAAATGTTCATCGTGTTCGTGCAAGCCTGGAGCGGTGTTGGACATTGGAGAGAAACCGATCGCCGGAATACCGAGCTCTCTTAAATACCGACTGTCCGTACCGCCGGGGAATGTGCAGATTTTCATCGAGATTTTCCTGCGGAGATCCGATTAAAGTAATTTTAATTAAATATTAACGTCGATTAGTGCTGTTTGTAAAAAATGTTAGAGATTGACTGACTGGAGTGATGTCACATAAGAAGCCAGAGTGAAATCTTTTGTTTCGTCACGGTTAGGTTACACCTAATGTAACAATATGGCATGCATGCCTGAATTCACAGAAAATTGGCATGGAATAACCCTAGCATTGAGCTTTGGAATGTGAATGAGGTTACCGAAGGCCCAATACAGGGTCACAACAATATTTTCCCTCCTTCCCCAATCCCTTAAATCTCAAAACCTTTATCCCCATAAAGCAACTCACCGGAAATTTTGGATTTTGGTGTTGCGGATAGACGACGTCGACTGCTTAAACATCAGCAGTGTGATTCTGTTAGACTTCATTCTAAACTTCGAATCTGAATTCGCTATGAGTAGGTAGTAGTACACTAGCGCTGCACTTGCGAGTTGAACTAAATTGACAGCAACATTTTGATAGATAAAGTATGAGATGACGTTAAAAGTGGCATACCAAAATATAATTTCTTTGTCCCTTCGACGCTCACTTCAGACTCGAACAAGATTCAAAATCAAACAATTTCTAAAGAATCGTCGTGCAGATGTTACTGCTACTCTTCTGTTATTCTAAAAATAGAAAACAGACTTACAATTGTTCCGCGGCAGCTTTAAAAGCCACCCAGAAAGCATTTGATTCGTTCAGCTGCGTTGGAGCCACGTAGGGATCCATCTGTTCAAACTCGAACGTCACACCGTCACCAGCCTCAGAGCACCAACGTCTTATCTGTGATAATAACAAATTAAATGTTTAATACACAGTATTAGCCTTTACAATAGTAAATTATACTTAGTAGACTAGAGACCCGCCTCGGCTTCGCACGTATGCATTGGTGATACAAAATGTTTTACTTTTTAATGGGTGCTCCTATACATAAAACACACACACACACTTGTTTCTCTTATTTTAAAAGTTTTATATGTCGCAGAAAAACTTAGTTTCAATTAGTTTACTTAAATTTTACTTTTTTTTTTCCTTAAACGCGACCCTCGTGTAACGTAGATAATTTTAGTTCAAACTTTTTGAAATATAGTATAATACTTATTCCATAATCTAGATTTATTTTCACCCTGTATAGACCTAAGTTTTTTTGTGAATTTTTTCTTAATACTACCTTTTGTATTTTGGTTTTTCGAACACAAAATCGACTAGGGCACAAATTAACGTTTGTGCTTTTTTATTCTGTTCCTTAAATAAATAAATATGTTTCTTCTTCCGTTAAAAACTTTTAATGTAGTAAAAAGTGAATGTTTTATGCTTAGGCTTGAATAAAATAGACAAATAGCCTTCTAAATAGCCTTTTTATACTTTCTATCCTGATTTTATATCTTATGAACAAAACTAACGTTGCTTTTATGTTCCGATGAAAAGTTTACACGTCTAAATTTCCCAAGGGTCTGTTGATAAGATACACACATAAACCAATTGGCTAGCCTCCTGGGTATTCATTTTAATTTTCGAACTAAACTATTTTAGTTTGGCATAAATATAAAATAAAATATACTTAGTATTTATATGACTCGTGTACATACATTTTTAAAAGAGAGATTTTTAATAGTAGAAGTAAGTACCTAGTAGTAGTTGTTGTTTTTAAAAGCACCTCGCGTGAAATAAGACATTCTTTATTCTATGTAGATAGATAAGATTTAATGTATTCAACAATATTACATCCTCTTTATTGATTTTTATTTAGGTAATTTAAATGCACGTATCGGTCCTTATCGGTCTAAATAACAATGGATTATTTTTGAGTGTAGGATTTATACCATCACTTTTATAAAGATGTGGTCAATAATGAAAAGAACACAACCAAAGAAATGTGGTCTTCCGAGACCATTGCAAACAGATTGCCTTCAAAAATGTTCTATCGGCATTCAAAGTATCAAAATCAAATTATAAAAGTATGTCGATCGATATAATACTATAATAAAGAGTAACCGACCTCAAACATTATTCGAAAATGAGATTTATGGAAAATAATTAGGTTAATAGACTTGTTAACATTGATTTTGATATTAAGCCCTTTGTTTACGAGCTACTCAAAGCTTATGCCAAAAGGGTTTCATTGTACATGAATTTTATTTCGAAGTATACATAGAATAAAATTAATTAACATAAAAATACCCATCGTTTTCTTCTCATTACAAAGTGTATTAGTAAATCAGATTTATTAAAATTTCTTAACTTTGATATCTCGTATAATTTTAATATTATTTGCGTTTATAAACATCTTATTTCAGAAATATACTAGCAGGACGCCCCTGCTCCTCACGGGCGTCCAAAGACATCGCAAACCGTTCTACTTTTCAAAAATGATGATATATGTATATTTTTTGTATTATCAGGGTATGCATATGTGAGCACCATGTTCAAGACAATAAAGGATATTAAATGAAATGAAACATTCCATAACTTGTTATTTTTTTAAAACTGTTCTCTGCATTGTTTTCATATAATGAGTACAACAATATTAACTAAAATAATGTATTAGTTAAACTGTAATTCTTTTTTGTTTCGATAGAGTTTCTTCCTCGTACTTCTCCATTCGAATCTACAATTTGGAACGAGCACCTAGCTATGTAGGTACTGACGAGCAGACTGACATACTATTCTGACTCGTCTGATTACTATTATAATAAGATGTTTCAAAATTTAAAAAAATTTTGACTGGACTGGATAACAATCACGAAAACAATAGTTATAATAGTTAAGCATTTAAAGATGAAAGCATATCCGTTTTTGGAATTTTATTTTATTTTTAATAAACAACATGTATTTGCGTCAGTATGTAACTACGTACCTGATTCTCAAATTCTTTTTGGTCGACAGACAGCGCGATGCGGATGTCAAAACTGGCAGTCAACTTTTCTGGCACAACATTGTTTTGGATACCACCCTGTGAATAAAACAGCGGCCATGATGAATCTGAACGCGAATGTAAAGTTACCAACAACAATTCAAAAAAAGAACTGTCGGTTGTCTCTGTCAGCTTATTAATGTGAAAAAAGGCCATAGGCTTAGTAAAATTGGTGTAGATTTTGGTTACTTTTTTAACATAAATGGTTATGTTGTGTTTTAAGTCCCAGGTCCCAATACCCCCGCCGCATTAGGGCGGAAATGCGGTAGTTTTTAATCGCGGTATTTTGTGAAACAAGGAACTGAATGACCGCTTTTGCGGTTTTATAAAACCGCCGTGGTGCGTGCCTCTGTGGTGTGACAAGACCTTTTGTTTTTGTTATGCTCTTTTTGCGCAATAATGTTGTCTCTGTTCTTTCTTCTTTTATCTATAATACTTTCTTCATGCCATATTATGAGAGAAATGGCCCAGTCATACTTTGTAATAGGGACTAGGTACTTCAAAAGACGTAGTAAAATTTGTAAACCAGCCAATATCGATATCAGCCGAGATTGTGGATTAAGCAATAAGGTACCGCGGCTCCGGCCTGGAGCAGGAGAAGGAACAGTGGTGTTTTTAGTCAGTAAGAGTCTGACACTCCCTCTCGCCTAACCTTAGGCGAGAGAAGTTACTTGATGATCCCCCCACCTCTCAAAAAAGAAACCCATTATCGGATAATTCGATCGAATGTTAGTTAAATGTTTGGATTGCAAACATTAACAGTTAACTACAGTTTAAATTAAACTAATTCCAGTAACTGCTAAACAGTATTTCACAGTGAGAGAATAATTTATAGAATTACAAACGAACCGTTAGTTTCTGATCGATTCTGTATTTAAATTGCAATGTTATTTAAAGCATTAATTTTCGAGAAGTTTAGAAAAAGTTTTTATGTCATGTAATAGCCTCATTGGTGTAGTAATTAGAAGGCACGTTCAGCTCTTTTTTTAGAATAGAAAATAATGAAATGGCTTCTCTGGCATAGGGTCTGGCGAAAGGGAGTGTCTTTTTCTAACTAAAACTCCCGTTCCTAATCCTGCCCCAGGGCGCCAAGGCCGCGGTACGGCACTTTCACCCGCTCCTTATCAAACCGAGAGATGATCTCCGGCCTTCGTAAGCATGGGACTGCGGACGGCGAATAAGGGTAGCTCGCCGCCCGACCAGAACCATACCCGAGGGTACAGCGCGTTACCTCCCTCGCGCGACCACCACAAACAGAGCCCTACAGGGCTGTTGTTTAGCCGGGATTGCGGGGCAAGCGCAACACCCTGGGCGGGAGAAGTCATTTAATGACTTTCCCGTCACAAAAAGGCCCTTATTAAATAAAAGTCTTATAAATAGTACCTTCTCCTTTGGGACTTTGTGATGATAATGTTAGGTTATGTTAATAGTACAAGAACTTACAGATAGCATGGTAAGATTGACAGTTGTGACATCACCAATGGTCAAGTTAGGGTTGTCAGCGAGCTTCTTCTTAGATTCTGCGCGTATATCCATAAGTTTGTCCACCATGTATCTTAGCTGTAACAAATTGAAATTAGTTTGAAGAGGCATGCATATATCAATAAATAATAAATAGCCTGGGTATCCGGTATGGAGCTGAAAAGATTTAAAAAGTAGTTAGGACGAGTTCCAAAACGTAAAATGTAAATATACTGAGTAGATGAGAAGCTAGATAACAACAACATTCTGCAAAAAGAATCTGTCAGAAGTGGGATTCGAACCCACGCCCACAGAAGTGGACTGCGACCTGAACGCAGCGCCTTAGACCGCTCGGCCATCCTGACATACTCTTGAGAATCGAAATATTTGATCATATTGGTGAGATCTTTAAATTGTTATTTTAAAACTTAAAATTAAACATTAATAAATCAATCAATAACACTATCTGTATAGATAAGTTGCGTTAATAACCCGCAATGGCTTTATAAATAATGAATGATATGAGTATGTAATTATATTTTCAAGCACAAGAAACTAATTTAACTTAGACACTAATACTTTTCCGATAAGTATTAAAGCAAGTTCCTTTCGTATCTTGGAGAACGACTCAATAATTAATTAATCCTACAAGATAGATTTAAGAAGTACGAATAAGTACTTGCAGTTAATGACAAAATTAAAATACCAAATATATACACTGCAATAGTGTTTTATTTACAACAGTTTCTTTTATTTGCATTTTTTTATATGTAAGAATCAGGAACGTAACGTAACTATGTTTCTGATCGATTCCAAATTTAAATTCAGCACTTTTTTTAATATAAGCTTGTGTAGTGGGATGTCGATACTATATTTGAAAAAAAAAAACAATCGAAAATCGACTATTTTTTTAAGGCATCCGTTTAGTTTGCATGAAGATTAATGATAAGCTGTATCGGCCTTATTACAAAACAAGGTTTTAGTTTAGTCTAGGACTAAACCATAGAGCCAGTTTTTGTATTTCGAATTGAAGGTAGATGAAAATAAAATTCAAAACCCGACTCAATGGTTTAAACCTGGAATAAAGATAAATCTTGTTTTATAATATATGGCTAATATAGGGTTTGAGTTTATATCTCAACTAAGGGCTGATTTTACAATAGTCAGATAAATGTTACCTGAGGAATAAAATTGTTGCTGTCACTGTCGTACACAAACATTCTGACGCGACAGCATCTTAGTTATTCCCCATATAACTTTTATCTAAACATTGAAAAATCAGCCCTAAGTATACAATAGAATGTCTCTAACGTCTTTAGTTACTCAAGGAACTTATTGACCTATGTTCAAAAAGTTTTTTGTAGTTTTTTAATAATAAATTTGAATCGAAATAAGATAAGGCCTATAACTTGAAAGAGTAAAGAGTAATGATTATTGAAAAAAAATCGATTTTGTTCTAAAAACAATGACTGGCTTTGTCAATAAAATTATTATTATGATAATGACCTAATGAACTGATAAACTGAGTTTGTTAAATGTTAACTACATTAGGAATATATAGAAAATTATCACCAGAATTAAGTTTTTGTATTAATAACTGTTACAGTTGTGGTACACACTAAACTTACCTATCAAAAATAACGACATGAAATAACCGAGAAAAGCTCGACTAGTTTCAAATCATAACGGGACTCTTATTCATGAGCAGCGTGCACGTCGCAACCACGTCGCGAAACCAAACCGACTACTACATAGATTCTTCTTTAATACATGTCATTTACCAAAAAGTGTTCAATTTGGTCACTCGTAAGTCCCTATTTGCAGTCGATGTAACTGCAAATGGCTGCAGTTTCATTTCTCTAAGAGCTCATGTTGCCGCAATGTTACCGGGGCCATCTTTAAAGAATAATGCAATTTCCCAGCCATTCGGACGCGGTTACTGCATTTGGCAATGATCATTGCGACTATAAAGTTTTTTTATCTACATAGAATTTAATAACAAACTTGTTAAAAAGAAAAATGATGTTAATAGAACTAATATTATAAAGAGGTATAAGATTTGTAAGTTTATATGAAGGGGGTGGTAATACATGGAACCGCTGGTCGGATTTCTAAAATTATTTCACTGATAGACAATTATAATGTACTGGAGTGCTACAAATACTATTTACCATATGTAGGGATATAGAGATTTTTAGTGTTGGTGAGCTATGTTTCGGAACGAAGGCGTTGGCTAGACCGGATTGAAACCACAGTCTCGCAAAAAACCCGCGTGAAACAAAGACAGCGTTGTGTTTTGCCGTACGAGTGACGTTATCGGAGGCCCTATCCTTCCCCTTCCCCTAATTCCTTAATCCCTCCAAAACCCTAATCCCCAAAAGGACGGCAACGTACTCTGACATCTCGATTGTTGCCCATGGACACCCATCCATGTGTAGCGTCGAATGCTTACCATCAGGTAATCTGTACGATCGTTTGCAATCCTATAACATTAAAAAATATATAGGTACAGAGAAAGCGACTTTGTTTAATACTATGCAGTGAAGTCTACTTTTACAAAATTTGCTGAAAGTACTGAGCCATGTCGTAATGTATGGATATTCAATATGTTAAGGTGTTATACCTGTTCAAAAAGCAAAATATCGGTACATTTTTCAGGAAATACTGCAGTGCAGTAAGTGTTACTAAAATATGAGCGTACATCGTCCGGGGAAGATCTCCACGAGCAAATACCTTCATAAATTGTCTTGTCAAATAATGACGTAAAAGTGCAATGAGAAAGTAGTAAGAGTTTTTTTTAAGTATTAGAAATTTGTAAAAATGAATGTGCCGATGAAAGCTAGTTACTCAGTGCTGTAGGAAGTCTTTGATTAATTTAAGCATTTTCTGAAAACGGCAAATACATACAGATGTACCAAAGAAATTTAGCAAAATCGCAATAATAAGTGGTTTATATAACATCTTACTGAATTTTACTAGCAATCTGTTGAGGAAAACCTGTTTGTACATGTCTTTTTATGTTTAGTGCAATATTAAACAATTAAAAATGTTTTATGGCTGTGCTTTGCAATCTTGTACAATTAATTATTATTGTCGTCGGTACGGTTATTACTACTTAAATGATAATTGCATTTCTGTTTTTATTATTTCTGTTTAGTTTTGGGTATAATTAGTTAAAGGTTGAGTGTCTGCTAAACGTATATATAGGTATGTATATACGAACTGGATATTAAAGAAAAACTTCGATATACCAAAGAATGTTGTTTAAAAACACACGTTTTGACAAAAGTAACTCAGCTGAGATGTTTGTCTATTTGTTATGGGATAGGTCGGCAAAAGCGCCGTCGTATGCAACCCCAAATTGCAATGCCGACCATTAGATACGTTGTTATGAATTGATCTTCGTTCCTTCGGATACTTGAAATCTACTTTTCGACCAAACAGTGTAGGTTATTTAGAATGGCTATAACTACTTACTTATTTTCCATTGTAATCCTTGATCATAAGATTTGAAACGTAAATTCAAAATTGTTTGACTTTCCTTTCGTTACCTTTGAGTTACCTATACTAATATAACAAAGAGGAAAAGATGCAAGGTAATTTGTATTTTTTTATGTGAGACGGATAAGCTGGTGCTGCAGGAGTGAGCAATAGGCGCCTCTCATAGGCTCAAGAAACACCAGAAGAGCTGGAAGAGCGTAGCTGGCCTTTTTAGGGTTAGGGATTTAAGCATTGGGATTTCTTTGGATTGAGTAGGATCCAAAAGTACTAGACCGAATTGAAAAATTCTTTCACTATCGTAAATCTATACTACCAACATTGAACATTCAGGCTATAAATCGGGTGAAACCACGGGACAGCTAGTGTGAAATATATTTTATTTAATTAAGTATATGAAGATACTTCATAGTTGGCCATTATAGTGTGCTGAGATTGTATAATAATACATTAAGGCCATTACTTTTACAAATGGCCGTCTGACGAAATAAATGGCAGGATACATTAATGCGCCATTTTCCGTAATTATGTTTAATAGTTGGCATTTTTAAAGTTTATTTTGTATTTTCCTTCCTTAGAAGTAAGCTTCATATATTAATAAAAAAAAATGTTAATTGGCTATACCTATACACATTAACAGCCCAAAACAGCCAATCCTTGGAAAATATCTCTCCAAAGTATTAGAGCATCTTACTAATATTATAAATGCGAAAGTTACGATGTTTGGATGTTTGTTACTCAATCACGCTAAAACGGTTGGACGGATCTAGATGAAATTTGGCTTAGGTACAGGATACACTCCGGAGTAGTCATAGTAGTTAGGAATAGTATACTTTTTACCAACATACCACGCGGGCGAAGCCGCGGGCGGAAACTAGTTAGTCATAAGATCAACGTTCAGCAGATGGGTTCGACATTACAGTTTAAAAGGTTCAGGATTATCAGAGTATTAATGCCCGGTCTCGTAATATATGTATTCCCTAACAGTTGAAATTAAGGCTGATCTCAATCATTTGGATAAAGGTAGATTTTTGACGTTAGATGTATGAAGTTTGTGGGTCTATTGACAGCGAACATAGGTAGTTCACCGCCCGATCAGAACCAGACCCGAGCGTATGGTAATCGCGTGATTTCTCCCGCCCAGGGTCGGGCGAGACTGAATGTCAGACTATTACTGACTAAAATCTCCCCCGTTCCTTCTCCTGCTCTGGGCCGAGGTCACAGTGCCTCATTGCGCTTACCCTGCAACCCCGGCTGAACATCAGCCTTATAGGGCCCCGTCTGTGGTGGTCTATTGACTCTTTAAGGCGCGCGCGGAACGCTACGCGCCGTACGCTCGGGTCTGGTTCCGATCGGGCGGCGAGCTACCCTTACTCGCCGTCCGCTGACCCGCGCTTACGGTGGTCGAGGTGGTCTCTTGGAAACTTTTTAGTTGCGCTATTAATTGTGCAATTATCACAATCTAACTATTAATCCAAACATTCACATGAACTTTAAACGCCGGTATAAATAAATACGATTATTCCCTCTTCCGAAGACTTTCTAGTGCTGGAATTCCTTATAAGTCTCCTAAGTTTTAATGGCAGTGATCTAGGATTAAA